TTTTTTGAGCTGGAGACCCTGGCGGTCAGATAAAGACTTGCGCTTCTTGTCCTGTTTTGACTAACACGAGGCCGTATCTGCGCCGCGCCGCTTAGAACAAGGACAAGGGAAAGAAGGGCACGCTGCCCCAAGATATGCTGGACCAGAACAGGTATTTTGCCGCCAGGACCGTCGAGGACCTCTGGATCTGCTACCCGTGGGAGGCCACAGACATCGACGAGCACGACAAGCTTGCCAGCGAGCAACCGAAGCAATAAGCGGAAAGACGTCACGTCAACCCCACCCAGAGGTCACTGCTTCTCCATGGAGCTGCCGATAACAGGGCCTTGGTTCCGATTCTGTTGGACTCTGCGGGGCAAAGCACCGTCGTTCCAAGGTGCGGAGCTTCGGGCACACGAGTCTGTGCTCTAAGATCATCTATAAGACGACGGAGGATATATAGGTTGGGCTCCCAAGGGCGAGTCTTCCCTCGGCTTGCAAATAGTCCTCGTATCTGGACAATGTTCAGTTGAGGGTGCAAGTGGTCCAACGGTCCTGGCATGTCTATATGCTACCCAAAGGACCAAGCTCGAAATCCGACAACTGGTTCGGGGTTGGATGGCTGCATACGGTGCAATTCCCACTATGAATATAGAAACGATGATTTACGACAAAACAATACAAATCGTGTAATACTCCACTATCCTTCCATATGCTACTTGAACCTGACTTGATCGGTGTCTTCTGATCGAGGTGGCCCGTGATTTTGACATATGACACGGCGAAGGAATTATTCCAAGTCGTTGCCCAGAGATATACGACAACCCCCCTATCTCCATTAGAACCAGTTGAAGGCCTGGCGCTAGTTTCGGTGTTGCAGCCCAAGTGCAGGACAGGGAGGCTAGGAATTTGATGGTTCAATAAGCTCACCCGCCAGACGTTCCCTCTAATCTATGCTTCTCCTTTAGCCTCTTCTCTTGCTTCATAAACTCCCTGATGCCCACGGGGACGTTGCTGTACAGACCATCGTCCCAGAGGTCTTTGGCGATCTTGGGCGACTTCTCCGCCGGCGCCCAGTTCGTGTCTGACCCTCCCCCGTCGTCGTCCATGCTAACGGCCCCTGTCACCTGCTGTCTGGGCTTCGACGCGGCCGCAGCAGCCACGGGTGTCCCCACCTCTGCCGTCGCCATACCGGCTAGCTCACCTGCGCCCGCGCCCTGCTGCTGCTGCTCCTTCTGCGCCAGCAGGCGGGCGTCGGCCTCGGCGCTCGCCGTCGCCCACTCCTCCATCTCCTCGCGGTACCGGTCCCAGACGCAGTTGACGCAGCCGCTCATGCAGCAGTTGTCGGGCTCCTCGGGCCTGGGCGGCACCAGCACCCCCGCCACCTCGACGCTGCGCGACCGCACCGCCGCCAGCCGCTCGGCGCGCGCCGCGGGCCCCGCCAGGCTGGAGCCGAAGACGATCCCGGGCCTGGGCGGCGACGTCTCCTGCTGCGGCGGCGCCGCCGCCTCTGGGTCTGGATTCGGCTCAGGAGGGGCTCCGCCGCGCTCTGGGCTGTCTGGCCCTGGCGGCGGCGCGGAGGATGCGAGCGCGGGCGGACTGTCTGCTTTGGGCTTTACAGGCCGGTACGGTAGAGGGTCGTCCAGAAGGAGCTCGTAGTACCGGCCCAGGGGCTGGGCCTGCTCATCGGCGGCACTGTGCTTCCCGTTGGAGACGGTCCTTCTCGACGCGGCCGACACAGTCCAGGCTGGGACATGTGCTGATGGCCGGGGTATTAGTCGGCCAGGGCTCGCGGCCTTTGATAGGGCTGCCCTGAGAGCCGACGACATGGTGCGGCTCGCGGGCGCAGCGTTCTCGCTTTGCTACCTGAGCGGCATAGATATCTCTTTAAATAAAAATAAAAAAAGCGTGACTTGCCCCTGGGAATGGAAAATGCGACGCTGGAGATGGGATGGGAGACTTTATTGGGATTCTTCAAAAAGCCCGCGGTTACGGTTCAGATTGAGAATTATTCAGCGCGGCAACGATTTCGCGCCAGCGGCACGACGTCATTCTTGGAATCCGCTGATGAACAGGATGCGCCGAGCGAGTATCCATCGTGTGAAAGTCATGTGACTGCCCACGCGAGATCGTGAGACGAATGTTGCTACTACCCTGATTGATATAACCACCTAGCTATCTCGGTTAAAGCGGCTGTTAGTAGTTACTTGTCGTATGGCTTCTTTCTATTTGTCAATTGAGACTTGAAGCCATCTTCTCTTTGCTCGAGTTTGTTGAGTGGCAACCATGCAAGAGAGCTGGTAGCTCCACTAAAAAAACAGCTGCACTTGGCCCGTCGCAAACACGTCTAAACCCCAGCCCGACGCGTCACACCCGCCCTCGCCTCACCCAAGAATAAGCCACCCCAGCGCTGGTTTGCGTACAGGACGCGTCGCACCCATCCATGGGCCTAGTACATGCTAGAGCAGCCATGGATTCATAGCTAGATCCCGATTCCAACACACAATGGAGACATCAGCCCCCAAGCGCCGGAAGACGTCGCCCACCACATCGGTGCCAGTCAACGGCCAGAACGGCGACGACCATCCCAACAACACGTCCACAACCCCGACTGACCCCGCACCAGGCGCCTCGTCCAGGGGGGAGGGGCGCCCGTCCTTTGCCTCGCCCACCAGAGCAAGTCTTGCCAGGCACAATCCCGATGTTCTCGACAAACACAAAGCGACGACTACTGCTGCCGTCGCCGCCTCTAGAACCAGGAAGGGTGCCGCCGCCGCGCCGCCGGAGCGGGGCGCGTCCCAGCTTGCCAGCGACCTCAACAACGATGCGTCCGACCCGGTAGATGGGCAACGCGAGCAGGGGCTAACAGGCAACGGCGAGTCCCAGGGCGCAGCCAACCAGAGACGGCCGCCACCCCGTTCCCCGGAGAGGAGCATAGGCGCACCGGACGGCTTGTTGTCGGCGATGCCTAGGAGAACGCCGGTCAAGCTGCCGCCGCGGCCGTTGCCTCCTCCCGGCCCCGCCGACGACGAGCCCATCAACCCCTTCCGTGGTCGCGCCCTCAGGAGGTCATGGACGGGCTTTGCTCCCCCGCCGCCGCCGCCGCCACCCGAGCCGGAGCTGCCGCCCACCCCAGAACATCATCGCGATGCTTCCGTAAACACGCCGCCTTCCGGCATCCATAATACGCCATCGAAGCGCGCGAGGAGGAGCAGGGCCCTGGCCGAGCGCATAAGGAGCTCGCCCAGTAAGCCTCCGTCCTCTGCGGTAGCGTTCTCGCCCTCGAGGCAACCCACTGCCCCTCCTGCGACGACGGCCGCACCTCCGCCCTCAAAGCCGGTCGAGCAGCGGCTGTTCGGGGCGCGGGCTCGTCGGCGCATGAGTTCCATAGGCCCCATCGTGATCGACGAACAGCCGGAGGAATCGCTTGTAGGTGCAGGCGACCAGGTCGAGGATGCCGACCGTGCCACCGCGCGCGCGTTGCGCGGGATCGAGCCTTCTGGGCCCGAGACGGCCAAGAGGGCAGAGCGTGATGCGCTGCTCGCTGAGATCGCGCAGCTCCAGGCCGACGTCGATGCGCTAGCCCGGGAGAACCGCAGGCTCGATGACGCGGACAACGATACGGACTCGGCGGACAGGCAAGCTGCCGTTGACGCTCTGCGGCGACACCTGCTCCCGCAGGATGCGGAGCCGGAAGTCGACGCCGACATGCAGTGGCTGGAGGCGGCGCTGAACCCAATATCGTTCCTCCCGTTCGCAAAGTCCTCGACCCAGCCACCGCCTAGCCTCTTCGGGGCTGACCTTAGCTCGCGAGCCAAAGATGATGAGCCGACGCCCGTGTCGCACCACCCCGTCCAGATGACGGCCGAGGAGGAGCTCCCGTTCCTGCAGGTCTTCACCCCGCTGTCATTCTCATCGCAAATCACGGTCCTGCCGCGGCGCGGGGAGGGCGATGCACCCCTGCTGCAGCGGCACGCCATCACGGTGGGCTCGACGTCGCCGCCGGGCCTCTTCGCGGCGCAGATCAGCATGACGGTCGACACGGCCACGCACACGATCCGCGAGCTGGCGGTGCCGCGCCTCGACCCCGCGGCCGCGCCCGAGCTGGCGCAGCTCATCGCCGACACCACAGCGGCCACGACGGCGGCGGCGGGGGCCAGGCCTGTGCGCTCTAGGCTGAACAACATCAGCGTCCTCGGTTGGGCCATGGCCGAGTGGGTGCGCGTCGCCACGCGCCGCGCCCGCTTCTGGTGCACGCTCGAGGCCGAGCTCGCCACCAAGGACGGCGTGGCCGCCGCCGCCCGGGCCAGGGCCAGGGCCAGGCGGAACAAGGGGAGGCGCGGGAACGGCAACAAGGGGCGGCAGCGCGGCCGCGGCGCTTCTGGCGACCAGGACCCGGACGCCACTGAGGACGAGGACGAGGGGGACGACCAGGATGCGGATCCGTCCGACGCCGGCTCGCGGTCCTTCTCCCGCCGCGACCTGCTCCCCCAGATGGGCAGGACGGCCATGGAGCTGGGCGTGCCCGCGCCGGGCGCCGGAGAGGAGGAGGACGGCCAGGCGGTCAGCCTTATGGTCAGGTGGCGGATCGGGTTCGACTGGACCGGCGAGGCGGAGAGCGAGGTGGAGTTGCTGGCTGGCGTCCCCGGGAAATGTGAGTACATGCGGTATCCTCCTGCCATTCTTCGCTGCACCAACGACGTTTGCTAACCCCACATGTCATCACAGGGAGGAAAGCCGACCAGAGGGGAAAGCTACACGCCATCCCAGAACTGTTCCAGAAGCTCATCAAGGATGAGGGGGACCCCATCGTGGCCGTGAGGACTGTTGTTGCGCTGCTGAGCGGCGATGGATCATAAAGGGGCGGCATAGTACGGGGAGGGGATGACGTTGCGGCGTTCATGGACGCTTGATACTTTGATACCCAATGTTGGCAAGAGTTGTCTTTTCATCGGTTTAATATACACCCATTTGTGGAAACGCTGTCGGATTGGTAGTGTGATGCCATTTCTGGGCAGCAATGGATGCATCACATGGATTTAGCGAGGTCAGAAGTGACATGTATTGTATAACTCTGGGATTGCGCCAAGGCCCTGCTGTAGCCGCAGTGCTGGAAACTCGGTTTACTGAGATACCAGGCCTGTAGAGCCGAGATCAAGTTCGAGAGTGATGATGAGTTCCCCAGTCAATGTCCAGAGTTGCCTGCCCAGGTCTAAACATCTCCCCACCGCGGCACCCTATGCCATATGCCATCACGATTTAGTCGACGTCGACTCCCCGCCTCCGCAGGTCCACCTTGGCCTCCTCGATCTCGACCATCAGCTCCTTGTAGGCCTCGGGCGTGTCGTTGAAGGTGAGGACACCCCAGCCGAGGCGGGCGAGCAGCATAGCGCCAAAGGCGACAATGAACCAGAAGGGGAGCTGTTTCGGCAGAGAAAAAATAAAATAAAAAAATGTCAGCTTCTCTGGGATTTTGCAACCGCATTTTGGCGACACGGAAGGGGACGACGTACCACAGGGACGATCTGGGTCTGGACCACCTCGGGGAGAGGGATGAGCTGGAGGAAGAGCGCGAGATACAGCTGTTGCGTTGATGCGTTAGCATGGGTAGAGAATCGTTTACCAAGTCGCGGCGGCGATGGGGGAGGGAGGGCGACGAGGCGCAAAGCGACGCAGGTGGGCAGGAGGGGGCGGCGGGTCGGCGTACAGAGCTCGCGAGGAGGGCGATGGAGATGGTCTGCTGCGCGCGCGTCATGTTGGAAAAGGGCTGAGCTGAGCTGCTTTCGCGATCTCGATTTCTGTTTTTGGGAGACGGATTGGACCTGTGGGTCGGTCGCACGGCAAAAAGGAGTGGATTGCTCGTCGGGGGAGTCGTTGGTTCTGAATGCAGTGAACGAGGTCGGAAAAGTGCTGGCGTGGCAGTTCTCGCGTCGATTGACAAGTCTCTCGGGACACCTTTTCAGCCCCCTGTCATAATGGTTGGGTGGGTGGCCCGCGCGAGACCCCTGGGAGCTGAGACAGGGGTGTTGTGCAGCGCGAGCACGGGCCATGGTGGGCGAGCTTGATGTCATCCAGCGTGCAGGAACACACTCTTCGATACTGCCGAACAAGCAGAGATGCTGGAGTACTTGTTTACAACATACCTTTACCTGCCTTTGAATAAATCTTCGCGCAAGTACAGTTTGTATGTCGGGCTTTCAACACCGTTGGCTGCGGTCTTTGCGTTCTCTCAGCCCCTGAATCCAGACCCAGCTGTTCTGAGATTGTGGGCCAGCTTGATTGACCCTCCTTGCCCAAGCCCTCCGCACCCACACACACCTCAAAAACTCTCCAAATCATCCCGGATGCAACACAAATCAACAGGGCGAATGGTTTAGTGGTATAACGCTTCCTTAGCATCTTGACTCGGAAAGAGATTAGATTGGAAGAGGTCCGGGGTTCGATTCCCCGTTTGTCCAATCCTTTTGCCTCCTTGTCTGAGGCTGCCGGGTTGTTATATTTTTGTTGACATTACCTGTCTGTATTCTATTTGGTTTTCGTTTTCCTTGCTAGTCACTAATATTCTAAACGAGGAGCGTGTTGCTTTGCTTTGTTCATGGCAAATCAGTGTGCGATGGGCCCCTTATCGATGGCGACAAATCACCAGATCGACATAGTCTGGAGCCGTCACCTCAGAGTAATTGCAAAAAAAAAAAAAAAAAACACACATTTTGCCCTGGCCCTGGCCCGGCCTTGCTACCACTGCCTCCCTCCCCTACCTTCGGTCCCGTCGTTCGCCTGCGTCGCTGGTGACCAAGCCACCTCCACAGGCGGGCCGTCCACGCAATGGATGCGGGCAGCGGGTGCCCATGAGACCAGTTGAAGTTGACAGAGCCGTTGATTGGACATGCGGGGACGCGTGGACGCTGGTCGATGTTCAGCCCGAGCATATTTCATGATTGCAGTTCAGATGTTGTTCCAGCATCTCGAGGAACAGCCTGGGATCGGCATTTGTGACTCGGTATCAAAGGGCACCAAGAATCCTCACGGTGAGAACCTGCGGCTTGTTGTGAACTGAGGTCTTTTGGTCAAGTTGCTGCACCTCTGATATCGTTCGTGTCTGGACCTGCGAACCGCAATCCCAGGTCCCACAGTCCCAAACAGGCAAACTGGTTATCCACGATGGCAGTGGTTGGCGTTTTGCGGTGGCGGGGCAAGGACTGAGCGGGGCGCAGGGCTCCCTATTTTTGGACGTCCAGGCGTGCTTGGGAAACGCCCGCGCCTCGTCGCATTTCCAGCTAGAAACGGACAAACACCGGGGAAGGTGAGGCCAAGAGAAGGTAACAAAAGCAACAACATGTGACCAGAAGAATACGAGAGGGACAAGCGAAGCAAGAGAATAGAACGGGCAAGGAAAATCAGAAGAGAGCAGGCGTGGGTGGAGCCCCCAGGTTGGCATAACCAAGGCAGAAGAATGAAGAATGGCATTTAGACGGTCTGTCTGTTTAGCAGAATCAGGGGTTCCCGGCCGCACACGTCAGCTCCCAAGCCATGCGTGGATGCACTGCCGCCGCGCCCTGGCACGCTACCGACTCGGCTGGGGCTGAGGTCGAGGTCAACAAAACCAAGATCAGCACGCCCAACTTTCACTTTCCCTGAAACTGCCCTCTCTTTTCCAAACTCTTCCTGTTTTGTTTCCTGTTTGTCTGCCCTTTTGCGTTCCTAACGTACACGAGAATTTCATTTGGGATTTCTTTTCGATACGATCGTTTTTTCCCCCGCCGTATTTGGGCAACGATATTGGCGTCGACTGACGACAACCCATCTTTCCGCCCCATCACGAGCCGAAAACGAGCTGGACTGAGCGCCACGCACGAAAACTGAGCAGCATCTGGGAAGTGGAGCCCTGAGAACACACACACACACACAAACACACACAACAGCCATAATCATGGCACCAACAGCGCTCCTCGCCGACGCCGCCGTCTACGCCCGCTCGGCGGCCCTCGCGGCGGCGCCCCTCGTCGCGCGGCACGCGGTCCTCTCGCGGCGGCGCGAGGGCGGCCCGCTGGCGGTGACGGACACGCAAAAGATCACGCTCGGCATCATCGCGGCCTACGCGGTCGGCATCGGCATCGTGTGGAACATACCCTACGTGCGCCGGATCCTGTGGCCGTGGGCCATGATGACCATCGCCTTCCACGAGTTCGGCCACGCCCTCGCCGCCTGCTGCACCGGCGGCCGCGTCGAGAGCATCAAGCTGGACCCGCGCGAGGGCGGCGTCACCATGATGCGCGGCGGCATCAGCGCCCTCACCCTGCCGGCCGGCTACCTGGGCTCGTCGCTCATCGGCGCCCTGCTCATCTTTTGCGGCTTCGACATCATCGCGAGCAAGGTGGCCAGCTTCGTGCTCGCGCCCTGCTTCCTGCTCACGCTGTGGTGGGGCAAGAAGGACTGGCTGACCATCCTCACCATCCTGTTCGCCGTCGGCCTGATCGTTGCCTGTTGGTTCATCGCCCACGGCCAGGCCCTGCGCTTCTACGTCCTCTTCATGGGTGTCATGTCTTCGCTCTACAGCGTGTGGGATATTGTACGTTTTTTTTTTTTGCTGTCCCTTTTCTTCTCCCCACACGCCCCTTTCTCACGGACGCACTTGCTGACATTCCGACTCGAAATAGTGCGACGACTTGATTCTTAGAAAAGTAAACGAGTCCGACGCCAGCCAGTTCGCCAAGCGCTACGGCGGCTCCTCCCAGTGCTGGGGTGTCCTCTGGTCTATCATCTCCCTCATCTTCATGGCCGCCGGGATAGTGGCCGGCATCGCGGCCTTCCCCAAGTCGTTCCAAGAGCAGAACGACAGCTCGAGGAACTTCCTGCCCACGATATAAGAGCAGGGCCATGAGCCACCCTCCAGTCGGCGCGTTTTGTTTTGTTGCGGCCCCACGTATAGGGCTCCAGGAGCATATTGCAAGATAATTGATTTTTAGCAAGTTATATTGTGTGATTTGTTCCTATGCTCTTTCTACCCTATCGGGGTGAAGTCGGTTTTCAGCAGTTTTTGGACCCGTTTATGACCCATGACGGGAGCACTTTCTAGCATATGCAGATATCCGAGGCTTTCCGTGGATGGCGTTTTCGGTTTTGGGACAAGGCAGCATTGTGTGGATAGGATGGCTTGGCTTTGAGGAGCTCGCGATTTTAACGACTGATATTTCCCTACGTGATGACCTTTCCATCTCACATAACCATGCTGTGCTAAGACCAGAAATGCGCCTATGCAGCGTCGTTAATCTTGTTCCTCAGGTTGTTGAGGCCGGAGATGGTGATCTTGTTGGCGGGGCGCGTCCAGCCCTCGGCCAGGGGCAGGCGCTCCTCCTGGAACATGACCTTGACCCAGTCGGCCCTGGCGTCGCCCGTGTCCTGGTTGCCAAAGACGGACATGTACAGGGCCGTCTCGATCTGGCTGAACTGCTCGCCCAGCGTGCCGATGTCGAACTCGGGGTTGGCCGCCTTGGCCGCGGCCAGGCGGGCCTTGCGGGCGGCGGCGGCCGTGGGGATGTCGATGGTGCCGTTGCCGGCGGGGAAGCGGGCGGCCGTGGTGGCCCAGATGGCGGGGTTGAAGGAGTGGTTGTCGCCCAGGGCCACGTCATTGCGGCTCAGGCTGCCGTCGTGCTCAATGATGCGGTGCTTGTTGAGGTCGTCGAGGTTGAACCACAGCAGGTTGCCCGTCGTCAGGGCCACGGCGCCGACCAGGGTCGTGGCGGCGGCGTCGAGGTTGACGCCGGCGTCGAGGCCCTTGATCAGGTTGACCAGGTTGATCTTGCGGCCGTCGCGCGGGAGGTAGCCGTGGTTGGCCAGCGTGTTGACCATGGGGCAGGGGCCGCGTCCTGTTTGCGTGGGAACAAGCTGGTTAGACTGGGCTACGCGACCTCCAAGGGGGTATTCGGTATGGCCAGTATGGTACTCACGGTCGTTGGGGCCAGGGGCCTTCCACGAGTGGTCATCGTCGCGGATGGACAGCTCGTCGGGGGAGGTGGCCGCGGAGGGATACGCCTCGACGGACAGCGCCGCCGTCAGGAAGACGGTAAAGATGGAGGAGAAGCGCATTTTGGGGTTGGAACGAGTGGCTTGCTACGTAATAGTAGACAGGGAACGAGAGACTGGGCCGGAAATGGTGACCGGAAGAGCGCGAGGGAGCAGGTAGCGTCTCTGTAGAGCCCAAGGACCGATGTGATGTCGCCCATTGCTACATGTTATATATGTTGCCCTGGGCGGTGCTAAACACTCTGCCAAGTTCAAGGCAAGGCCAAGCCTGCTCTCCTGCTTTGTCGCATCATCGGCGAGGGCTTTGCAATGCTGGCAAGGTTGCACAGGGGCCTCCAACCTGCAGGTCTGTACCACCAGGATCCACCGTACTAAGGTTTATGATCCCTGGGACCTGTATCCATTCCAGGGGGCATCTCCGGCTGACGACTGGCCGTTCAAGTCCATGATTGGCCTGAATGGCGCAAAATATCCAGGCTGGACCCTCTCCGGAGGCGTGCCCCTGACGAATCGTGGCGCAACTTCATGCGGCCTCGGCCGAGATTGTGCCCTCATGCATTTGGCCAATGAGCCGAGGCTGGTTTGTCATGGACAGATCGTGGAGAGAAATACAAGCTTGTTTGAGTTTCCCAAGGACTCAATCTCGAGATTGCCAAGAACATTGATTTCCGAACAGGGGGCTTTGGATCCCTAAATTAGAAGATCAGCGACATTTACCGGCCCTTCTCTAAGGACCTAAAACAGAACGCCACGGCGACTTTCATCGAAACACACTGACTACAATGAATAAAAGGATAGATCCATGTATTTTTGTCCTGCTCTGAATGCCAATTCCCAATTACCCGGTCTTGATGGACTCTCCGTCCGGGTCTGCCTTCTTGGACAAATCGTCAAACTTGTCGAGTACCGGCACCTCGTCCCCCTCCCGCACCGCCATCCACGGGATCCCGCCGCCCTCCTCATCCACCTCCCAGGGGCCGATGCCCATGGCCCTGAACTTCTCTAGCTGCAGCATGAAGAGGTGCCCCTGGGCCCACTCCCGGCGCTGGTAGGCCCTGTTCATCCCCAGCCTCCCCTGCAGCCAGAAGGCGGCGTTGGGCAGGCAGGCGAGGTTGACCACGGCGAGGGCGACGCCGACGGCCAGGACGGCCACCAAGGGCGCGAAGGCGAAGTTGGCGTGGCGCAGGTTCCGGGTCCGCGCCAGGCCGCAGACCTGGAACTTGCGCATGGCGCTGACGTACTCCCCGAGGTTCCAGTGCGTGGTGGCGCCGCCGTCGCCCGGCGCGACGAAGGGGACGTTGAGCGTCTCGAGCGCAAAGGTCGGGATCAGCTGCGCGAGCGCCATGGTGATGTTGAAGATGTTGGACATCTCCGTCTGCCACTGGTCCCGGGGCAGCCCCCAAGAGAGGAGGCTCACGGAGGATAAGACTTGGGTGTAGTCGTGGGCGCGGAGGACGCCGCCGCTGATGTACTGGCGCTGGTTGCCCTTTGCGGTATCGAGAATGTCGAACACCTGCTTCTGGCGCTCGTTGAGCCCAAGGCCCGTCTCGCTCGAGGCCGCTTTGAGAACCGGCAGCCAGCCGCCGAGGCCGGTGCATGCCGTGGTGTTGCAGGCCTGGTATCTCTCTGTGCAACACACGGCAGAGGAATCCTGATTGGATATGAAGCCGCCACCGGGGCGACGCTGCTTCGTTGCGCGGAACCAGGGATCCTCGACGGCGCTGCTGTACTCTGCGTCGTTTCTTAGCACGAACATGACGAGGTCGGCATCGGAGACGGCGAGCCCGGGCAACGGCTTCCATAACGTCCTGGGCTCATCGACGCCGATTTCTATGAGCCTGGAGGCACAGACATGAGACCCCCCATTAGCTTTCCTTTCTTTTGTCGTTTGGCGGGTCTCGGGAAGCCACTTACTCCATGCCATAGGGGCGGATCTCTACTCTCTCCAATTTTTTTAGAGGCGAAGGATGTGCTGTTGGTTACAACCCACGTGTAGTTTCTTTGACCGTTCTTGGGATTGGGTGTGACCACCCCACGAGGACCAAGATAAAAAGGCTTGTAAAACACCCCGGGGACCTGCCCGCCAGTGTTATAATTCGGTGGCGGCATCTGTGTCCACGGGCCGGCGAACTTTTCCGTCTCGATGGGGCTGCAGGTCATGACCTTCCGGAACCTGACGCGATCCTCGGGCGGGCTGTTGATCCCCAGGTGCAGGTTCGAGTCCACGAGCCCAGAGTCCATGGTCATGGCCGAGTTCCCGGAGCAGAACTCGGCCGCGAACGGGCAGGGCACGTCAAAGTCGATGGTGACGGGAATCTTGTCGACGGGGGAGTAACCGCAGTCGGGGGAGGCCCCGCTCGCCGCCCGCGACCCGTAGCAGTCCCTGACCAGGCGGGCGGCGCGCTCGAACAGCTTCCTGCCCGCCAGCCCCTGGGCGTACGAGAAGGCCCACTCCTGGGCGTCCACGTCGTCGGTGGGCGGCAGGGGCCGCGCGCACGCCCCCGACACGAGCACGTCGCCGCCGGCGAGCTGCAGCCTGGACGAGAGGAGCGAGGACGCGGCGAGAGCCACGATGAAGAGCACGGCCGCGGAGATCAGGGCCGACGAGGCGGGCAGGACGCCCGGCGACTTGCCCCTCCAGGTCCAGGCCAGCCGGACGAGGGTCCACGCCGTCGACCCGGGCGACGGCGCGCTCCGGAGCAGGGCCTGCCGCTGGTGGTGCAGGCCGGACCGGGGCGCCGGGGTCGAGCGGGCCTGGTGGAGGGCGAAGCAGATGATGGACCACAGCTGGCCTAGTGACAGGCTCACGAACAGCGCCAGAGTGGCCGTGAGAAGCACCCCCGTGCCCTGGGTCACAGTCAGGATGAGGGTGGATTGCGTGCCGTCTAGAAGCAAGGGGTTTTAGTTGGGTCTGTGCATGCCTGGCGAGAGAAAAGGAACGCACCATCATATCTCCTCCAAACACCAGTGTGGATAAAATCGGACAGAGCGGCCATCACAGGAATAGTGAGGAACGGGCGACTAGGCTGCTCCGAGTGTTGGAGCGTAAAACATCGGAAGCTGCACATAATCCGTCTCAGCGACCAGCACCGACATAATATAGCCGTGCCGACTTTGAGACTCGCAGCCTTACTGTGTACTGCATGCAGAGTAGTATCGCAGGTTGAGGCCGCTACCGGTTGGTGATGGCCCCCAAGGCAAGTACAGTACTGGGTGTGCTGCCCCAGCCTATCATCGATCATGCATGAGGGGGCCGATGGGGGCTTTGGCAGCCGGCTGTAGCGCAGTAGGTGATCTTTCGATGCCAAGACTCTATGTGCTGCCCTTGATTTGCCAACACCTGCATATCTTGCGGGTGGCGCCGTGCCGCTGGGCAGCCCCCACGCCACCCTCTTTGTTTCTGGGTGTTCCCGTCCCGAAGTAAGCACGTTAGACAACCCACGGCTAAAGTCTTCTGCGAGATGCCAAGCCATGTCTGATCAATTCCCCGCTCGAGATTTCGATCGCTTGTACTGTAGGCCACTCGCCATTAAGGGCGTCAACTGGTCGTCAGCCGCTCCGAAACCTTCCACAATATGACGCGCATGCGTTTGGATAAACTACAAGTACGCCTTGGTGCTACTGTAGAAAAATCCGAGCCTCGTGGCGGGAGAGAAAAGCCATGCCTTGGAGGCGGTTTGGGAGTTTCCCCCTCCAATAACAAGGTCAAGTCTCGACCGCTAAGGAAGGCGGATATGCAAGGGCGGGTGTTCAACCCGAGTTAGATATCTAGCTATCCATGAACCGACAAGAGAAACATGGAAGGCAGAGGCAGGGACGGGGATAGACTACATGGAAGAGGGTAGGGATAGAGAGCAATGCAGTGCGACGGCGTGTCAACGCAGCAAATGCATCGGACACTCCAGCGAGGGATATTCAGGGCAGCGACAATCGGCGCCTTGTTACCGCACCAAGCCCGCAAGGCCCCAAAGGCAGATGCCAAAACAACAGCCGGTGCACGACGCCTGGCCGGGCTTGGATTCGACCACCGAATTCGTCAAGACGCCCGACGGCGACAGCTGGGCAGCCCATGTGGAGCCGGTATCCCGTAGTGGCGGCACGCAGCAGATTATCCTCTCACGCTGCCATGGAGGAGGGCGGGGTCGACAGCACCAGCGAGGTCAGCAAGGGCGTCTGCAAAGGTGCCGACCGTCGCTGAGTGGATTCAGTCCACCATCACACTTGTACACCACCTTGGAACCTTCCAAGGCCAGAGATCGAAGATGACCGACTGAAAAGCAGTAATAAGTCAAGTCTCACGAAACAATACTGGGCGACTTTTACCTCTCCTTTCCCCAGCGTACAGCCAATGTCTTTCCACGGCCGGCACCTTTGTAGGGCAAAAACTAGGGGGTGTTTACCCAGGCCTTGCCATCTAATCTTCTTGATAGCTTGGGAGTCTTCCGCCTTGCTTTCGCTGCAAAAGAATCCAAGATCCCGTGTTCGGCGAGCTCAACATCAAGTTCCGGGAGCTGGCAGCAGAGGTCCACGAGGAGGGCAAAGGTGGTCACAGCCCCGCAGCAAAGTCCCGGCCCATATCCGGGTTTAGCACCCGCACCACGCCGACCCACCAGCCATCGTGCTCATCTTCCTGATACATTTCAACCAGACGAGGAGCCCCCCCCCCCAGGCACCCGTCAACACTGGCGGGGGGCGGGGGAAGCGATTCTGCATGAGCCGCGCGGCCTGCTGTCGAAACACTACGCCTAGTTCCGCCACACGCCCTGCCGATCTGTATGTCGACGCCGCCTCGTCCGCGCTGGGTCACCTGGCCGCGCCCCTCGGGCTGGCTGCTGGCGCACTACGCGGCGGTGCTGAGCAGCCCAGATATCTCAACACCGGGACGAGGGGCGCGGCCATTGCTGATAGGCGGGCGTCTGCCACCTGGGTTACGTGAGCGACGCACCGCTAATGCCGGAGCTTGCGGGCGCCGACATCCCGTGGCAGCCGGCTCTGTTGGAGTTGGTCGGGGAGCCCGGGCCGGCTGTGGTCTCCATACGGCCTTTGGGGCCCCTCCCAGCTCGGGTGACCCCGGGTATGGTGGCGCTGGCGGAGCTGGGTTGTGCGAACGACGCGGATCAGAGGGTGCGGGCGAGGGACGGGGATCTGGGCGTGGAGCTGATGAGGCGGCTGGGCCGCTTGCGTGGTTCTGCTGATGGGGGGTGGCGGCAGCGAGGTGGCAAAGAAGGCAGAGGGGCTTATGCTGCCGGGGCTGGACAGTCGGGGAGTGGCTTGGGAGTCGTGGGGCCGTTTGTGGCGGCGATCCTTTCCAGGCGGAGGCTGAGGGATGTGGGGATGTAGCGCAAGGCCTCGGACCATGAGATACTCGTGCGGGCTAAAAGCGCCTGCAATTTAACGGTCCTCCGGAGTAAAGTGCGGCGGGGCAATTCGACGTTTTCGGGGCAATTCAACGTTTTTTTTATAACACTTTTCCCCACCCAAATTAGCTAAAAACCAATGTATCGCCGAAAAAGGTAATAATTAGCCAAATTCTTGTAAGTACGGTGCACAGCCAAAAAACCATCGTAATTTTAACCCCGCCAATTTAGGCCTTGCGCTTTTGGGTTTTCCAGCCAAATTTTACCGAAATGCTTAGGATCCGGTGCGAAAAAAAGCGCGAAAAGGCCCGGGCTAATAAAGCCCGGGTTTTAATAGCCCTGGAAGCCTTCGATTAAGGCGGCTTTAAAACCTTCGCCGCTTGCGCGCGGCAGTACGGGATAAACTTTCGCTTATTGCAAAGGCGCCGGCAAAAAAGCGCCGGCAAAATAAAAAACGGCGGGCACAATAAAAAGTTAACAAAAACCAAGGATTTTGCGTTATTTGCGTGGGCTAATTGGAAGCAATTAATCGGTAAGTTAATCCAAACGGTTTTAGGTACGGTTGTTA